AATCCAGTGATCAACAGCATGAGCATCGATCTGCGCAATTGGGAACCGATGACATGTGTCAACCAAGTCAGCGAGCCTGAACACCCAATCCCGTTAGTCGCCTCTTACGACAAGCATGGGTTACTGAAGGTTCATTCTAACCCAGACCTTCACGGGTGCGTGACGTGTGAACCTACCTATAGGCCATCCTATAGGCCTGCCTGTTCACAAAGAATGTTGGTGCGGTGTTTACTCATGAAACTGACGAGATATGGGAGGTGAATAAACTATTCTGATTAGACTACCAACACTGAGTCATGTATAACATTTAATTAAGGATTGGCAGGACATGAAGCATAACTGACTTAATCTTGCACTTAATGGCTTAAGAGAAGTAGAGGCGCATAAAATATGAATGAAATATGATTCCTTATGTTTTTCGTTAGACTTACGCCTAGTCTCTGAAAACAGATAATTTTGACACAAATAGCTCCATTTCTATTAAAAAAGGATTTGTTTGTTTGTTGAGAGTTTCAGCAAGAGAATTGGTCTTCAGCTACCAATTCTTGCCTCAGAGGCAACTAGCTGAATCAGGTGGTAAGGCTCGCTGACTTGGTTGACACGTCATCTTATCCTAGTTGTATAGATTGATGCTCATGCTATTGATCATTGAATTGTCTGGTCCAAACTTGATTATTTACACACCGCCGCCATGTAGCTGGAATCTCTCTGAGTGCGGCTTAAACAACAAAGAAACAAAACAGTCTGTGTGGTCTCTTTACACCAATGAGTTCTGAAACAAATTTTAAAATTATTTTGCTTTAAATGCTGTTTCAGGTGCTCTTTTTTTTCAACCTTGTTTCTGTGCTGCCACAAGCGAGCAACTTGTCACATGAACTCCCTACAGCTGCTTGTCTTATTAACACTTAATGAGCCGTTTCATGCATATTCACTGCTGCCGAGTTCATTCTGAAAAGGATACCTTGGGTGCTTAAGTAGAGCGATACTATTGCGCATTTATACATTTTTCAGACGTATCTGTACGAAAGCAACTTAAAATTATTAGGTACAGATGATATATTTACACATATTTGTTACAAATACTTGGCTAAGCTGAGCTCTGTACTTGCAAGTAGGGATTGATGGTTTAGGGTCTGAAGTATTATAATGAATGTTACCATGTACTAATAGGAAATCAAATATGAAGTATGTGTCATGCTTGAATGATGAAGATTTTCTTGATTAAAAATAATCTTACAAATACATTACGGGGAAATTGATATGGAGAATTAGGACATTCATTGTATTTCTTTGAGTGAAAATAATATCACATATATCTTATAAACATGATGCTGCAAGTAGTTCCAAGACCCGTCAAGATCCAGATTAGAATTGGTCTTCCGTAACCCATGCTTGTTGTAGAAGGTAACTAATGGAATCGGGTGGTCAGGCTTACTGACTTGACTGACACATGTCACCATATCCCAATTGCATAGATCAATGTTCATGCTGTTGATCACTGGATTGTCTGGTCCAGATTACATTATTTATACAGACTGCCGCCATATAGCTGGAATATTGCTGAATGCAGCGTCAAAACAACCAACCAACTGTGTCAGCATGCCTGACCACCCGTTCCCGATAGTCGACTCTTACAACAATCAACAATGAAGACCATTTCTAACCCAGATCTTCATAGGTATTCTCTATTTAAGAAAAGGAAACCTACTTGCACCTGGTGCAACCTTAGGTAATAAACTGGTTGCACCAGACTAAAACAGGCTGCATCAGCAGCTCAAAAGAGAATGATATATAATGCTTGGCTTTGATGACAGGACTTTATCACAACAAATTTATTCTGGGTCTAATAAGATCATTTTATCTTACTTCTTCATGACATTTCATGACATGAACAGTAAAAGTCATTCCATCACTCTCCATGTTGTCAGTCACTGATCCAAATTTATCATCATTGATTTTTTCCAGTTGAAGTCTGTGTTCTTTTAGCAGCAACATATTAACATGCACTGTGTGCAAGTTCGTATAAGTATGGGGTTGCTCTTTGCAGTTTCAGGTTGCACCAGTGCAAGATCAAAATGCTTAAAACAAGTCCTGAACTGATGCATATAATAAATATAATAAAGTCTTTGTTTTTTTTTAATCTTAGCCATTTTGCTGTTCATTTTAGTTGAAATGTGTCAGTCATAATGAACTTAAATATGTGTTCCCTTAGTTTGTAATAACAATAGTAATACTGTATATCCCAAACCAGGAGTATGATGGAAGAAATGTAATATTTTTGTAAAAACTTTCCAAATCAAGGTGATAAGGAAACAGATCTGAATCGTTTGAGACATACGATATCTGATTCGCACAAATACCTCAGAATAAATGGGTGAGTGAGTGAGTATGGTTTTAGGCCGCTTTTAGCAATATTCCAGCAATGTCACGACAAGAAGCACCAGAAGTCGGCTTCACACATTGTACCCATGTGGGGAATCGAACCCTGGTCTTCAGCGTAACGAGTGGATGCTTTGACCATTAGGCTGCCCCATCATCCCCCTTTGACTAAAGCTTAGTCTCTGAATATATATAATTTTGATTGAAACAAATTCCATGTAAAGGAAAAGGAGCGCAGTGAGATGGAAGATTCAGCAGCCGAGGACTTGCTTCATTCAGGACATTACAAAAAAGTCTGAGAGGAGTGAGTAAGTGAGTTTAGTTTTACACCGCGCTCAGCAATATTCCAGCTATATGGCGGCAGTCTGTAAATAATCGAGTCTGGACCAGACAATCTATGAATAATGGAAAATAATACGGTTCAGGGACAGGATATCAGACGCAAGCATCCTTCATTTAGATCCGCGTTATTAAAGTTCACTCAGAGGTCACTGAGTAAGACCTCTATAGCAGTGTCCTCAAAATCTGGTAGTGGCCGTAAGATCTTGTCTCAGAGACAAGTGGAACTGATCTTACTCAAACCAGACTGAGTGAGTGAGTTTAGTTTTACACGGCACTCAGCAATATTCCAGCATATGGTGGCAGTCTGTAAATAATCGAGTCTGGACCAGACAATCCAGTGATCAACAGCATGAGCATCGATCCGTGCAATTGGGAAACGATGACATGTGTCAACCAAGCCAGCAAGCCTGACCACCCGATACCGTTAGTTTCCTCTTACGACAAGCATAGGTTACTGAAGGCCAATATTCTAACCCGGACCTTCACAGGTCTCAGAGACAAGTGAATCTGATCTTACAAAACTGAGACTAATGAGGCAAGATGTTTGGTTTGGTTGTTGTTTAACGCCACATTCAGCAATATTCCAGCTACATGGCATTCTCTTCCCACAGAGGTTACTCCTGTCATATCTTCCTACGTAACCTCTGTTCTAATACGGCCCTTTTGTGGTGTGAGCGTTCAAGACTCGTGATTGGAGACAATCAGATTTAGTTGTGCAATCAGCGACGTTGTTTCAAAAGTGACCATTCGCATGGCCTCGGTAATTTCCGTGTACTTCGAGAAAACTAAACCACTTCCTCTGCGCGATGCGCAAACGTTTCTTCTAGACAGAACTCAGTCATGTTATGGGGGATCAGTGGCGTCTCCATCGCCCTCGTTGACAACGGACAAGCTAGCCATTAAACGCCTTGTGTGTAACATCAACACAAGTCACCGGCAGATGGGTACATGGCGGTCTGTAAACAATCAAGTTTGGAAGAGCAAATTCAGTGATCAACAGCATGAGGATCAATCTACGCAATTGGGATACGATGACATGTGTCAACCGAGTCAACAAGCCTGACCACCGATGCCGTTAGTCGCCTCTTCTTACGACAAGCATGGGTTACTGAAGATCAATATTCTAACCCAGATCTTCATGGGTATAAGATGTTTCTAGTGAGGCAGATTGAGATGAGCACCTTCTCAAGCAGACTCATCCTAGATAATCTCCAGGGTATACGTTACGATCATTCTCCACTATACCCTGGATGCATCCACGGCTTGGGGCGATGATTTATTACCTCCCTTGGCTGGCTCCGCATTCTCACAGTAGCCAATCAGCTAAGCCGCCGTTACAACCGAGCTTGCCAGTGTCAACAAAGATTGTGGTCGCAGTTGCAAAGGTTTGTTCGCAGTGCTACTCAGAAAGTAATAAAGACAAATTCACAGATCTGAAACTTTAAAGAATATATGAAAAGAACTCCTTCTGCATCAGAGTACCTCTGCATCAATTGTGTTGCAAAGTTTAAATGGATAGATTATTTAAGACGTGAAAGAGAGTAGTGATCGGTTTGCTCAACTTCCCAGCGAAGGCACCTGACTGGATAAAAAGCCAGCCAAGGGAGGTAATAAAATCATCGCCCTAAGCCGTGGATGCATCCAGGGTATAGTGGAGAGTGATCGTAACGTATACCCTGGAGATTATCGCGGATGAAGCAGACTAAGGTCATAACAAACTCAAAGGGGCCACTATCTGTTGTGACTTATAGCTGTAGTTTGTTGTATGTACTTCGACTAAAATATACACGTGACTGAAACAAAAAACGTTTGTAATATCCAGCAGTATGTCTGTGTTCGTTATTAATGCAGTTTATCTTGTGTAATTGATTATTCCTTGAATTGAAGGTTTATTTTCATTTTTTGATTGACATGTTCTGTTCTGTAATGCTTTTCTTAATCAATATTTCAATTTTCATGTATAACTGAAGTAAGTTAAAATTAAACATTGCATCAACTTTATTTTACCACACCGAAAGTTTGGCAAGACATTTAAAACAGCAATAAAATTCTTTCGTTCTTTAACTGCCATTTTAGAAGTTGGGAAGTACAATATTGAACAAACTTTATGGACAACAACTTCATTTATTTCGTGAGTGCGACGTTTCGATACAGACTTTTGCACCTTTCAGACAACGGTACAAGTATCTGTATCGAAGTGTCGCCCTCACGAAATAAATGAAGTTGTTATCCATAGAGTTTTGTTCAATACAATAAAATATAGACTGGAGGAATCCAACCTTTTTGCAGAAGTTTGAGACTCCCCTAATTTTGAAGGAGGCCGGGGCCTGGAGATTCTCCAGCTTCAGGTAGACCTCACAGCCAGTCTGTCTTGACATCGGACCACTCCGGACAGTGGGGGTCACATAGTACAGTTGCTCATCACCGGACATCCTCTATAACAGGCAGAGTGTGTGTAGACTAACGCTTATTCTCGGAATACATATAATTTTGATAGTGACAAATAATCCCATTTACATTGAAAAGGACTGACTGACTGACTGAGTTTGGTTTTACGCCGCTTTTAGCAATATTCCACCAACATCACGGCTGGGGACACCAGAAATGGGCTTCACACATTGTACCCATGTGGGGATTCGAACACGGGTCTTCGGCGTGACGAGCCAACGCTTTAACCATTAGGCTACCCCACCGCCCCACATTGAAAAGGAGCCTCAGTGAGATGGAAGATTCAGAGGAAATCTAGACTTGCTTCATTTAGGGCTTTAGCATTGCAGGGAGGGCTGGACGGATGGGAAAATAATGTGGTTCAGAGACTGTGAGTGAGTCAGTGAATATGGTTTTATGCAGCTTTTAGCAATGTTCTAGCAGTGAAGAAATAGGATTGCATGAATAGTGAATAAATAAATTTGAGTGCATGAATAGTAAGTCAAGAAATAGGAGTCTATGACAACCTCAGTAGGAGTAATTGACTAGGATGACAGAGTGAATGTGGTTTTTTATGAAAGCATCAGTAAACATACATCTCCCTGTAAACAATTAATCAATCAAAATATACCCTGAAATATGTCTGAGTCTGTCAGATGCATGGCTGATAGCTTTACTCCCATCTGTCAGTTATCCCGTCAGACTAAAGGAAGGACTAATATAGTCACCCAAAAATCTATAAATTGGACTGTACCAAACTGGACTGACTAATTTCTCTACTCAGTTACGTACAATTCACAATCCAAACAACATTCTATTCCTCATAACACAGGGCTCAATTTAGTGTTTTGTTACTTGCACTGGTGCAACCCAATATCATAAAGTGCAACCTAGTTATTAGTCTAACTTGCACCAGGTGCAAGTAAATTTTGAGTGGGTAAACGTCTGAATAAAACATCTAAATAATTCAATAGCATATTTCTTTCTTTACATATTGCAATAAAAGCAGGGCAACTGGAATTTGACTGGTGCATCTATGTTTTTATCTTAGGTTGCACCTGGTGCAAGTAGGTTAACATCTCTTAAATTGAGCCTTGTAACAAAATGCAGGTCATTGACATGTGACAGCAATAACAGTTATGCATGAGAAGTAAGATACTTTTTACTTACATAATAATCAATAAGTTATGTCTAACAACATCAACATCAGCAGATGACGTTAACGTATTCATTTTATGTATTTCTGCAAATAATCGAGTCCGGACCAGACAATCCAGTGATCAACAGCACGAGCATTGTACTACGTTCAGTTGGGATACGATGACCTGTGTCAACCAAATCAGTGAGCCTGAGCACCAGATGCCATTAGTCGCTTCCCAGATAGCATTCAGGCGTTGGCCCAACATTGGCAATGGTTTTGCCAACATTGCCAACGTTGGGCCAACATCCGAATGCTATCTGGGTTCTTACGACAGTTAAAATTTAAAGCATGGGTGGCTGAAGACCAATTCTAACCCGGATCTTCACTGTAGGACCACTAATTTAAGTGCATTATATGCATTTTGACTTTTAAATGGTAATATATATTACAAATAGAGAGGACAAATCGCCACCACCACCCAAAGTTGGGCAAACTGGTGTGACCAGTTTAGGTGGATTAGGGTTTGGAGTATTGGCGAACATCTTCTCTAGGGGCTCCAAAACACAGTTTGTTATAATCGTTGTTTACTGTAATCAATTGGGGCAAAGTGACACGCAAACTGACAAGATATAAATATTGTAACGGCCATTTTACATGGGACATGTGCAAGAGGTCACCCGCAAACTATTTTGCGGACTCATAACGATAAATGTCAACATTTCTAAATTCGGAAATTCCTTTAATGTATGGGCAGCCTGGCATGCACTTTTGATAATATTGAAAAACTGTGGAAAATTCAAACTCCAAATTTGCGTAAAATTGTTATTTTCTTGACAGTTTTACAAAATCGATCAGGCCGATTATGTGCAGGTTGGGGAAACCTACGGATCGGCCTATAATAGGCCAAACGGGATATAATAGGCCGATCCGCCTATTTTGCTATAGGCCGATCGGCCTATAATTATGATATTTATCAAATAAATTTGAAGTGGTGCATTTCCGCATGAGGATATTAACATCATTCAAGTTTTGATGTCCTAAGGTTTTCATTCAAACCCTTTTTGAGCATTTTCATCACATAATAAAGGAGTTTGGAAATTGCTAATTAAATATAAGACTGTAATAGTTTTGACAATTTTCACTGAAAATTAATGATATAGATATTCAGTTTTAGTTGTCAAAATGAAAATCTATGCAAAATTGTGTTCTTAAATGAAACATCTTTTCCTGAACATTATATAAATTTCCATTTTGTCCAAAAACTTATTTTTTTCAAGCTGAGGAGGTCCATTAACTATTCATCTCTATGATCTAATAAAACCATTTCGTGCGGAAATTGATGATTTGTGAAATGTTAATAATAATGGTCAAATATAGCCTGATCGGCCTATAGTAAAATAGGCAGAACGGCCTATAATATCCCGTTCGGCCTTTTATAGGCCGATCCGTAGGTTTCCCCAACCTGATGTGTGATCAACATTTTAGACAGCAACACTCTTCACTTCAGTCTGCAAATGCAACGGATTGTAAATTGTCCTTGACAATGTCAGTTCATAAAATGACCCATTCATATAGAGTGGACGGTAAATATATTCCAAATAGACGTCCAAGTCAAGAACAGACAAAGAAAACGGTGCTTACGATGTGTCAATCTACCGTTTGTATCGCAACAAATCAGCGCCAACCGAAGTCGTACAACGTGGAAAGATCGGAAGTTTACACTTTTAAAGCACAACAAGAAGACTTTACCTCATTGGCCAATCCCAATACAGTTTAGCCAATCAAACCTCGCTTTACAAACTACAGCCCACGACAGTAAATCGGGGATTCCCCAGGTGATAGATTATTTATAGAAATCCCACCAAACAACCCAGCCGCATTCATCGCCTTGCCGCTTACAGTATCGCTTGCTCTGACATAGACTCCTCCAAATTCAGGAAAACCTATCTCTCTGGCATGTTTCCAGGTTCTTGCCGGGAAACAAAATTATGGGTAATTTTGTTATGCCGCCTGCTGGTCTACCACCAGACAATCCACTGTGGCTTGTCTAAATATCTGAAACCCTTAGACCAAATTGTAAGTTACAGATTTCAACATGTCAGTGCTTGTGCCACTGCAGTACATAAATATCTGTCAAGTGAATAACGACCCGCAAATATATGCCATTCACACAAATGCGCATAAACTATAGCAAGAAACAGCTATAAAGCCCTCGTTCTGCTGGCCTCGAAGACTCGGTGCTTATCTGCGGGAATGGTTCATTCATACGTAAAACTCCGGACAGGGTCAGAGTAGGGTGCGTGGAGTCTGTATCGATTCCTCTATCAGGCGTCTATTTATTAAGTTTGAGTGGTTCCCTGACGAGCAAATACACTGTGGGACGGCCCGGGCTCTTGTCAGTGGACTGGTATATCTGTTATTGAAGTTCACAGACATCAGTGACTGACATTACTCCTGTTTACATAGCCCTTGTACCGAAATTGAGTGGAACTGGTTTTGCTCGGTTCCTGGCTTTAGAAATTCTTGGAACTTTGGTTGGCCCTTTCACGGAGATGAAAGACCGCGCTCCACACATTCAGGACCCCGGAACTTTTCACAAAAGACTTGCGAATGATTAGAAAGGATTTCTTTTCTGTGGATAGCACGCAAAAAATCATTCCAAACAGTCGCTTTCAGCAAGAATACATTGACTCCACGGAGATGGGTTGAGGATTAAAAAGCTGTATTTTCTCATGAGGAAATGTAGCCCTGTTGTATCGTTGCGAATTGGGTTTTTAATCTGTTGGTTAAGCCACGCAATCAATACAACAGTATCGCACAACGCCCGTGTGTATGATACCAAGCCAGTGGGTACGGGATGTCGCTAATGACGGTTTTGTTAGAGGAATTAGCAAACCGGAGTCGTGTGGAGAAGATTTAATTCTGTGACACTTGTGGATTGTGTTCCAGGTCAACGCAGAGAGTAACAACAACGTCACAACGTCACAACGTAACAACGTAACAACATCAAACGCACAAGAAGACCAGTGTTATTCATCGTGATGTTAGTGCACATTCCTGAGGAGACTGTTTCACATTATCTGTTGAACATTATGGTAAGTACCGATAGCAAGATAGCAGCACGGCTTAAGTTACATGTTATAGATTCCATGTACTCTTATCCAGAGTGCACGTATTTTGTTGACGTGTGCAAAGTCATCGTGTTTACTGAATGCATGATTCATGTTTACTGAATGCATCGTGGTTTTGTTACATATCTATTACAAACCTTCGTGTCTCAGTTATCAGATTATTATTGGACAAACGTTATTGACACGTTCCCCCGAAGCCAGTAAATTACTATTACTCATCTAGAGATTATTTTATACTGTAAACAAACTAAAAATATGTCAATAACATCTTAAACAATATTCTTCAGTTACAGTGTCTGTAAACAAAACATACATACACACGGATCCTCAGTACAAAACCATGAGCAAAACCAATGTTCGCCCTGAACCCTGAAAAGCTGCAGGCCCCAAGGAACCAGAACCATAAAAAGTTGGTCCTGATCAGAATGTGTAGGCTCTATGGAAATAATACTCTTAGTTATTGGGGATGAAAAAGCTGTCGGCCATAAGGACCTGCAGAAAACAAAAGCTGTGGGTCCGAGTGGTTTTTAGTCGGCTTCGGGCCTAAGGGCCGACGCTAATTTCGAACGCTGAGCAAAACCAGCCAAATATACACTTAAAATTTTGATTTTACCATTTTACGTTTCTAGACTTGAAAACAGTGGCCGACACACTGGAAGCTTATGCTCAAACAAAACTAAGATATCTATTGAATACACCACCACCGTTTGCAGTTTTTTGCCTGCTCTATTTTAGCCAGCATCAAACATGGGCGTATGCTTGTCTTTGCGCTTCAGTTTTATTTCATTCACGCGAACAGATAACGGCCTGGCTGGATCACATCCAAACATTCCAAACGACCTGCTGGTGGAAGGTAATTGTATTTATGTTTATTTGGGAAAAGTCGAGCTCTCTAGGTAATTGCGCAGCAGGCTCCTGAAACTTGTTTTGTATGCCATTTTCAAAACACCTCGAGGCGAAGTCGCACTTAACCCTGCGAATTTGAAACATGCAAATTAGTAACCTCCGTGGATTAGAACCTTGTTTGTCAATTTGCATTTCAATAAGACCTGATGTTACTGTTGTACAGTAGAACTCCAGCTACCCATCTTTAACTTATCCGGGGTGTCAGAACTCGTCGTAAAATAGAATATGCCAGTCAAACAAACCCCGTATAAAACGATGTTAAAGGTGGCTAAAAATGATTAAAAGCTCCGTCGATAGTGATGAATCTAAATATACCTTTATCATATTTGTGTTTTGGATGTTACGTTTGCAGTGTTTCGTGTCGTTTTGATAACGCTTGTATTTTCTTGGTCAAATCCATTTTCCAAGTGTATACATTCTGTCAACCAGCATTGACGTTCCAGTTAACCATAAAATCAATACTTAATATACTTTCAATCATGTTTTTCCAAATATCACGAAAACTTAAAAACGCCATGTGTACAGCATTGTAAAAGTAATATATTTGAATTCTTTCATTGAACCCTTTAGTGATTTTTTAACTGTTAATAATATTTTTTTACACTTATCGTTCTAAGTTTCATATTGCTTTTGTAGAAATTATTACGATTTACCTATTGAATTTCACTAATTAGTCAATAACTAACCAAAGTGATTGAAATATGTTTTAACAATCATGATGCATTCTTCATTAAACATACCTATTTTATATACTGAACAATAACTGCTATTTATAGTCATTCAAACGCAGTGAGTGAGTGAGGTACTACAGGTGTATCACGGGATGGGACTTGGGGAAGAAGTTTCATATTCTTCAGATATAGACGTTAACATAGGTAAAGCCCAATCATTGGCATGTTGATGACAAGCCTTGAAATAAATCAGGATGGAATAGTTAGAATTCGCGATCATATGTATCTGGGAGGCAGTTATATATTAATTTTGCAGATACACAATAATTATACATGTTCAGTATCTTAATAAACACAGCAATATAATAACGCTTGACCTGGATTGTCTCAGGCATTATTAACTACTGATTTGTGTAGAACAGCACAAACTTTTAAATAAAGATAAGAGGGCAAGTCCATTTCAGGCAGCGTTCGAAATTAACGTCGGCCCTTAGACCCGAAGCCGACAGAAAACCACTCGGACACACAGCTTTTGTTTCCTTATGGCCGACAGCTTTTCCATCCCCAATACTGACTGACTGAGTTTGGTTTTACGCCGCTTTTAGCAATATTCCAGCAACAGCACGGCGGGGGACACCAGAAATGGGCTTCACACATTGTACCCATGTGGGGATTCGAACCCGGGTCTTCGGCGTGTCATCCCCAATAACTAAGAGTATTATTTCCATATTAAAATATAGGGTCTACAACTTTTTATGGTTCTGTTTCCTTATAGGGCCTGCAGCTTTTCAAGGTTATAATTAAGGGCAAACGCTGATTGCAGGATTCCGAAAAATACCATAAATAGAACAGACAATGTTTTTTATCGTCTCACTTGTGTACATTTTACAATTCATAAAATATGTACATAGTAATAAGAATACACAACCAATCGCACAGCGATTTACGAGAGACAAACTAATACTAAAACATGATAAAAATATGACATAAACCCTATCTAAAATAATAAAACAGTAGAGATAAGACATAACATATACACATGGTAAAAAGTGGGTAGCAAAAAGGGAAAAGTTTACTTCTATAAAATATTCCTTCGTTTAAAAAGTATATTATGGCAGGTTCTGGAGGTGTGAAAGACTAGCTCCATGTTTCCTAAAATGTTGATTGAACAACTGGTTGATTGACTGCAGGTTTTCTAGGTCTGGCCATTTGTCCTAGCTAACATTGACGAGATCCTCCCGTTCTTCGTTCCAAAGCGGGCAGGTTAAGTGTGTGTTTGGAGTCATAATCAAATGTTGATGTGGGCGGTAGCCCAGTGGTTAAACCGTTCGCTCGTCACGCCGAAGACCCGGGTTCGATTCCCCACATGGGCACAATGTGTAAAACCCATGTCTGGTGCTTCCCGTCGTAATATTGCCGAAATATTGCTAAAAGCGGCGTAAAACTAAACTCACTCACTCACTCAAATGCTGATGTCGTCATGTTTGTCCGAAAAGGTGACCGTGTCCTGCCCCTACCGAGGCACCCGTCACCAATACATGCAAAATCAAGTGACACACTTGTTTAACTGGATTTGTCAATCAAGCAGTTATCGATTACCGTAATTACAGAGACACGATGACTCTGTTGTCCACAGAACACTAATTACACCGTCAAGATCTTCTCTTGACATGGGCTCCTGACAGCCAATCACAGTCACCTGTACATGACAATACACTCTGGTACTGTTTGCTAGAAATGGAGGGTTGATCATGTCATTACCAGTTAACATTTTCCGCCCACTCTTTATTATCACAAATAAAAGACCACGACTGGTACATGTCTGTGGATCTACTTCTCACAATTAGCAGTTTACCAGATAACATTACGCAGCAATTTGCACACACACACGCACACACACACACACACACACACACACCGTATTTAAACGTATATGTATTTGTAAGTGTGCGTGGTATTTCAGTATTTCTATCTATATTTTATGACATATTATATAAGTGTGTACATGTGAAGAGGTGACTTCATCAGGTGCATGAGTAAAAAATGTACAAAAGACAGTCCAGATATTGAGTAAGAGGGAGAGTGTGCGTGAGGGGGGGGAGAGAGAGAGAGAGAGAGAGAGAGAGAGAGAGAGAGAGAGAGAGAGAGAGAGAGAGAGAGAGAGAGAGAGAGAGAGAGAGAGAGAGAGAGAGAGAGAGAGTGTGTGTGTGTGTATATATATAAATATGCAGTTATATTCTTATATTCTGCGGTCTTATTTCACACACACACACACACACACACACACACACACCTCGGAGTTCTGTTGAATTCAAAACAGCAATAGAGATCTACGAGGAGTATTGGAAATTTTCTGTCACTTCCCAAGTACGGTTATAAAAAATACCAACAGAAGCACCTGCTTGGCAGAATTGGTAATTGGAATGAGGGAGTGGTATATGTTTTTAAGAATCTTAAAACATTGACGAGAAGTCAATGATGTATTGGTAAAGAGATTACCAATCATAGCCAGTGACTTCATGACGATCCCTGAAGAAGATCCACATACATTGAAACGAGAAAGGCTTCTCCGATAAAACCGTGCTCGGTTCATTGTACGACTGTGACTATGTCATTAGCCTGAATCCATGGCAAATGGCGACCTCATGTCCCCGGGAAACAGATTAGATAACTCCCGCACGAACTGGTGTGATGTAGATTATAGGTGAATGACAGTTCACTGGTACCCACTACCTTATCAACACAAACACGAAACACACGGTCTCTTCAAACCTGCAGCAGTACAGCCTGAATCGGTTTATCATACAGGTGTCGACCTCGCAGCACTGCCTGCATCTGTTAATCCTACATGTGTCAATTTCCCAGCACTACCTGCATCTGTTAATCTTACAGGTGTTGAACTGGCAGCACTTCCTGTATCTCTTAATCCTACAGGTGTCAATTTCCCAGCACTACCTGCATCTGTTAATCTTACGTACACTTCCTGTATCTCTGTTAATCTTACAGTGTTGAGCTGGCAGCACCCACATCTGTTAATCCTACAGGTGTTGAGCTGGCACCTGCATCTGTTAATCTTACAGGTGTTGAGCTGGCAGCACTACCTGCATCTGAACTGGCAGCACTACCTGCATCTGTTAATCTTACACCACTACCTGCATCTGTTAATCTGTTAATCTTAATCCTACAGGTGTTGAGGTGCATTGAATCTTACAGGTGTTGAACTGGCAGCTACCTACCTGTCAACCATCCTGTTAATCTTACAGGTGTTGAACTGGCAGCACTACCTGCATCTGTTAATCACAGGTGTCAAACCTGGCAGCACTACCTGCATCTGTTAATCTTACAGGTGTCAACTGGCAGCACTACCTGCATCTGTTAATCCAGGTA